GGGGGCGGCGTGTGCGCAGGCGCCAGTTGTGCGAGGGCGGGCCTGCGCAGGCGCGGGGCGGCGGCCTGAGGAGGGGCGGTGGGGCCTAGCGGCCGGGGGGTACCCCAGCGCTCCACGCCCATCCCGGGCTGCTGGCCGGCAGAGCGGGGGATGCCAAGGGAGGAGCGAGGGTGGCGCGGTCCTCGGGGTTGGGGCGGCTCGCAGGCCCCCGTGGACCTTGGTTTCTGTGATGAACTACGCGGATTGTGTGCGGCTCTGTGGCGCTGGGTGCACTCGCGCCGTCCGCTCCGGCGCTCTTTCGTCCTCCGGCAAACACCGACTCCCCTTCCCGATCTCAAAGCGTCTTTAGCTACAGAATGGCTCGGGTTTCAGAACCCGCGGGCGTGACGTCTTCCCCGCCGGCCGCCGGCTTTGCTCCCGGCTGCGTCCCCTGGCGGTGTCCGTGACCTCCACGCTGGCGGGGCGCACAGCCCGCGCCCCCAGCTCTTCCCGCCGCGTGCTTCTGGAGGGCCTCGTCCGTTCGGTGTCTAGACGTGGCATGACTAATGCAACCTGTCCGTTGTCGACGGACGATTAGGTTGTTACCAAGTTTTTGACACTACGAACGGTGCTTTTCCACACATTTTGTGCAAGTGCATTTCTGTAGGAGAAATTCCTGGACGTAGATCCGCTGGGCCGAGTGGTATGTGCCCGAGGTAGTTGTGACGGCTGCTGGCAAGTTGCCCTCTGCGGAAGCGGGATCGGTAGTTGGACTCGCTCTACCAAAGTTCTAGAGTGCACACGCCTTCACCAGCACAGTGTCACCTGTCAGTCTGAGGGGTGGAAAATGCTATCTACTGTTTAAGTTTGCGTTTCAGATGGTTATGGCTTTTAATTTCTCTTGCAGTCACTTTTCTGTTTCATGCAAAGCCACTACAGCTTCTTTTGAAGAGCTGACGGTGGATTGCTTCAGACATCAGTCATGGTGATGACTGAGCTACCCAGGATAAGGGTGGAGCTACAGTAATTTACCAGGGTACTTCAAGAAGTTCATGAAAAGGTTGGTATTATCTTTCGATTCTATTTTTCCACGAACTTTTTGAGATAACCTTATATATCTTATCCTGGCAGTGATGAAAAAGCAGTCAGACGTTTATCGAGTGTCTATTTGTGCCAGACACTGTGTGGGGTGCTTTATTTATATTCCTGCATACCTTAACCATTTCATTGTTTATAATCAAAGTATGAGTATGCATGATCTAAAAAGTCAGTTAACAGGGCCGGCCCGGTGGCGCACTGGAGAGTGCGCCGCTTGGGAGCGCTGCGGCGCTCCCGC